AAGAGCATGGTTGTAACTTTGCTGCAAACAGTCACAGCGGCAAACAATTTATAAATCTGACATTTCCATCCTTCATGTTTATGCTCATCAAGGATTGTTACATTTCTGGCTTTCTATGTATAATGCTGAAGAGTCTTTACCTTAAAATAGAAAGTGCTGTGAGTTGCCTACTGCTATTTTCTATAAGTCTGTATAATATAGTAACTAAGTGGATGTACAGGTATGTACTCTTACCTTCTTCCATGGCTCTGGTGATGGCAGCACACAGGGTCATGTAGCCTGTGTATGTGGTGCCTTTATAAGTCACCTCACATTGCTGGGTTTCTTCCTCTGGCCAAAAGGAAAAGTTCATGGTGTCTACTACAAATACCCAGTTCAATGCCTGCAGTGGTAAATTGCACAAATTATTAAGAAAGTATACAAAAAAAAAAAGGAAAGAAAATTGAATATACTGTAACACACTGTCCAAAAGAGACAGGGTTTCTCCACTGAGGTTTTAAAAATTTGTATTAAATTAGTGTTTTAGTCAATATTTTAAAAACCTGTACCCATACAAAATACAATCAAAGACCACTGCAGCTACTGTCTTTTTGATTAATTCTGGATGTCAGTAGATACAATCATTTCATAAATCCTTCATTGTGTCCAGACAACAGTTGAAAACCTTAATACTTTATATTTATGGTAATATAAAACAGAGTAAAGCAACACATATTCACAATCTCACCACCTGATTAGCTGCAACTATTAAATAAAACCCCCTTAAAACCTTTTTTCTTTTCTTTTTTAAATTTCACAATAATTTCACAATAATAACCACAATAATAACCATAATATTATGGCTAGGTACAAGGACCGGACTTAAATGAAGTGAAAAAGCAGCCAATGCCCAAGACAGCTTAAAAGGGAATGTCTCAAGAGCACTTCAAAAATTATAAGAAAATATGGCTCCCTGGAAGCAAAATATAAAGAAATGAGGGGTGACTCAAGACTTCGGCATAGCACTATAGTCAGGGCTGCACATAAGTGGTCCGCAGGTGCGCATTCGCTGTCAAAATAAAAAAAACGTGCACAAGATAAGAAGTTGCAACGCGCGTTTGCATACATAAGATTTTCTGGAGGAGGACAGACGTTTGTTTAGAACTCTTAAAAATGTCGAAGAAGCTCCTTTAAGCAATTACTTTAGTTTTCCTCCACCTCCAACAAAATGTCAGAAGGAGTCCGAACCGCAAAAGAAGCGCGTATTCTCGGAAAAGTGGTTGCAGGAGGTGAGCTGGCTTCAAACAAATGATGAACGCACAGAGATGTGGTGCAGAATATGCCGTGAAAATCCCACTCTAGCGGACAAAAACAGTGCCTTTTATATGGACGCAAACGCGTATTGCAACTTCTTATCTGGTGCGCGTCTTTTATTTTGACAGTGAATGCGCACCTGCGGACCACTTATGTGCACCCCTGACTATAGCAGATATAATGCTTGGTCTAACTTATATATAGGTATAACCAAGGGAAAAACTAGGGAACACACGGAGGTCGACATCTGGAGGGAAAACTGATAAACCGCCAAAGACAGAGACAGTAGATAGGGATATTCAGGACTGATAGAAAACCAGAAACTGGTGGAAAAAAATGATGAAAATGATGGAAGAAAATCTTCTGAAAGGTTTTCAGAAGGACTGAAGAACTATTGCTTAAAACCATTTTAAAACACTGCAAGAAACTCTGCTCCTTGGAAGCAAAACATAAAGAAATGAAGGATGGCTCAGCACTTTTGCACAATACTGTATACTATGAAGAATCTTTTCATAGCCTGGGTACTAGTACACTCCCCTGGTCAGATGTGGGTGCTGGGGCCAACGGATTTGCTTTCTTCCAGCCACTGGCTGTCAGCTCGTCACTGTGTTGGAGACCGTAAAGCATCTCCGCCACCTTCTGCACTCCTTCATCCTCGACAAACACATCCCGACTCTGCTCTGCTATGAACTGACCAGACTCTCGTGGTAACAGAGGCTTCTCCATGATGGAGACTGTAAGGAGCAGAAATTAAAACAAGCATGCATAGTATGAATGCACTCCTCTGTGGAAATAAGAGTCCAAGAATGTAAGTGTGGGGATAAACACAACTATCTTTAATATATGCAAAGACTAGAGCTGATGAAACATGTATGGATTGAGTAAGTCCTTTACAAACTAAAGATTCATTATTTGAAATAATAAAAATAATGACCAAAAAATGGATGCAGATTATAAAAAAAGAACAAAAATCGTCTAATAACATTCTCCACAATGAAGTGCTTTGGGCCAACATTTAAAAGAAACGTGGATTTATTTTGAAGGTTCAGGTATTCATCCTGTGTAAGCACTTCAAACATAAAAGCGACGCATGTCTGACCGACGTCACTCCTATTCCTTTTCCCTAAAAGAAGACAATTACACCCCTCCAGGAGTTCTCAAGTATCTGATGACTGTGCGTTAATGTTCGCAGTGACGCACAGCTCCGGTTGCCTGCTGAATGAACCCCATTTTCCACTCCTCTCCTCAGTGAACATGATTTGCCTCTCACTTATATGTTTCATTCATTTTTAAGGCTTAATTATTTGTTATGCAGGCCAATTTTACGCCATCGCGTTTATCTGAGAAACCTGTAGGTGCAAAGTGCAACTACCGGAGCACTCACGCGGTCTCTGGAGTTTCACGACCATTAAGGACATTTCTGAGCGTATACAGTCATCGTCATTAAATAATAAAAACTGTGTTCTAATATAAACGCAGTGGGCAGCAGTACTTTTTTTTATTCCTGTGCAAACTATTGCTACTCACCGACGAAAGCACGACACCCGCGCTCTACTGTTCCCACTACCTGGTTTCCAGCTATTGACCAATCAGAGCCTCTTAGCTGGTTAGTGAACCAATCACAAGAAGCTAAGAGAGGAAACAACAAAGCAACGTCCGTTCCAACTGCCTGCTAGTGTAAAAATGTCTCAAATATGGTGGCATAAATCTCATGGTTTGAGGGGATTTGAGGTAAATGACTGTAATAACACCACATGAGGACGATCTGGTGAGCCAATAAGAATTAATTTCTCTATTTGTTTTTTTAAGAAAAGGAAAGAAAAAAATATAAATCAATAGATTTATTTCTGCTGGCTGAGTATGATCAACACAAAATTATTAAGTAAACATTTTAATAACAAAACAATCTGAGTAATTATTCAGTCAAACTTTCATACATTTACTCCGACAGTCTATTATGAGTGTATTTAGCTTTTCTTGAACTCACCGGAAATAATTTGAATTTATTTATTTATTTTCTTTTTATTTATTTATTTTTAGAGGGGGGAAGGGGGGGGGGACTCATATTAAAGAAAGTGAAATAAATTCCACTCTCTTTCAGTTCTAAGGTTTTACACGTCTGAATATAAAATGTGGTTCTTGCTGGGTGTTAAAATGAGGTAAATACAGCCTCAGATGAACAACAACACATGCCATATTACATCGTGGTGTTATCTAACGGAAACTAACCCAAAATGTAGTCAGTGTGTGAAAAACTAAGCACACTCTTACTGCTTCTGTATGAAAAATGAAGTTGTGGCCAGGTGATGGTGAGCAAATGTATTTATCATCAGCAGGTGCGAGCACCTCTACAAAAGCACAAGTTATAGTAGTGTATTTGTCTGGAGCATTCAGGTGTGCGTTAACAAATTGCCAAAGAAGAAAGACATCAGCAATGATCTTAGAGAAGCAACAGTTGCTTCTCTAAGATCAGTCTGACAAGGGTTAAAAGGTCATTTCCAAACATTATAGTTACCCATATTCCCAGGAATACAAGTTCCTGTGAAACGCTCAGATGCTCAAAAACCCCCAAGAGATACATCTCAGACATTACAGTCCTCCATCAGTGTTGACGTTCATGACAACACAATTAGGAAAAGACTGAACAAATATGACTTGTTTGGAACGGTTGCCAGGTTTGAAGAAAGCCTCTTCTCTCTAAAAACATGACAGCGTGGTTTCTGTTTGCAAAGTTTTATCTGAAAAAAAACCCACATCCAACACTTCTGGAGCACCGTCCAAGAGAACCGTGTATAAACGAATACACAGAAATCTCAATAAAATGAACCCAATGTGTAAGGAAGATTGGGCCAAAATTCCTCCACAACATCGTCAGACTGACAGTTGTACAGAAAATGGTTCTACAGAAGCACAGGGTCTACAATTTAAATGTTTTGTTAAATAATGAGTGTGATATGTCATGTTGTTCATCTGAGGTTGCACTCACATACTCACTCTTCAATCACATGCCTGCAGTATTGTTGGGTCTTTATCATACAATATAAAGTGCCTTTAAGCAACTGTTGTTGTGTTTGGCAGTATATTAATAAAAAAGCATTTAACTAAAGACACTTAGAAACTGATATAGACCAGAAATGTGAATTAATAAAAACAGAAGTTCAAGATTTAGTAAAAAGTGGCATCATCTTTATTCATCTTATAATTTGAAAATGGGGAGTCTACAGCATGGGCACATGGAGAGCAGGAAACTGCAGGGACAATGAGGTTCAATATCCTTTTTTTTCCCCTCTTCTCCTTCCAACGTTCTAATAAAATGCCAACAAATTTCTAGCTACATTTTTCCCCATTTGTGAGGAAGGAAAAAAAAAAAAAAAAAAAAAAAATCAAAGATTTCAGCTGTTTCATCAGACAACTGCTATATTCACACAAATCCCAACATAAACATCCCAAAAATCCTGTCTGAAAGGGTTAAGTCCCCCACAGCTCTCGAAAATAAAATAAAAAAAGAATAAGCTTACGTTCTGCATGTTGCACAGAGTGGTAATGTAGTACAACTGGGTGCGAAGGAACCAATATAGACTACAGAAAGCACACCAAACCCACACACGCCGACATGTGCTTACATGTACGCACAAAAGATAGATTTCCACCAAGTCACAAACACACACGCGTCATTTAAGAAAAAAGAAGAAGAAAAAAAACACAAAAAAAACAAAACACAAAGCCATCCAAAAAATAAAGGTTATGTTTATTTCTGTGAAAAGTCTGAAGGATAATTTGTTATCTGTGTTAGAAAAAAGCAAGTGTGTATCTGATAAACTAATGGATTACACTCTTAAAAATGCAGAACATCTACATTTTCTCTTATGCACAGGAATGTTGGACATTTATTTCATTAAAAAATACAAAAATAAGATTAAGAAAAAAAACAAAAGACACCCACAATCCAGAATAGTCTGAAGGTGATGTGCTGGGAAGGGCAGAAAGGTTGAGGAAGGAGGGGCAATCTCATTCTTCTTCACTTTGAGCCTCCTTGGTCTACAGCAAATGACCAGAGTACTGCTTCACACTGAAATAAAAAGAGTGAGAAAATAAACAACACACACAAGAGGGGGGGGAGAAAAAAAAAAAAAAAAAAAAGAAACGTTGCACATTGCAAGCCAATGGAATTGTAAATATGAGTGGGAGCATGAATGTGGAGTGGAAAGAGACAGCAAATAGGTGAGAGGCAGAGGAAAGAGAGGATGAAGATGTGACTGAAGTGCCTGAAAGAGAATGAGGAAGACGAGGAAAATAGCAGGGTGTGGTTAGCCCTTGTGTCTAAGCAGGTGCAGCACACTGAAAGGGAGGAAGGAGAGAAAGGAAGAGGGAGGAAGGGTTAGTTAGCATGGCAACACTACCCTACTCAAGAGAAAGGGCGGCAGGTCTACAGCTGTATTAGCATTCGGGCAGTAGCATCAACAAGGAAGTAGTGTGTATTATACGTGCCTACTGGTTGCCAAGGGAGACAGAAGAGGAGGAGCCTGTGCTATTTGGCAGACTGTGATTTGTTGTCGGTTGCTCTAACTAAAAACAACAAAATCACTAGTCTTCCACACAGCAGCAGCCAGGGGAAGAATCAATCCACTCCCTGCTTCACAGTGAAACGGCTCTGATGGCAAACGGACTGTTTTCTTTTTTCTGCTTTTTTTTTTTCATAATAATTTAACAATCATATTTCAGGGGACAGATGTGACAGTCAACGAAATATGCCTATCACATCAACCCTTAAAACAAAAACAAAACAAAAATAAACATGTTACGTGATATGTACAACAGCTGTTAAAGCTTGTCTGTTCCGTCACAGCCATTTCATGTAAGAGGAAGGTTTGTACTAGTTGCACGTTGCATGGGAAGAAAGGAAGGGGGTTAGTGAAGAAAAGACAGCAGGCAACAGAATTTCAGAAACCCAACGAAAAGTGGACTAACAGAATGTAATTTCAATATAACATATTTACAACCTCAACCAAACCTTTCCCCTATTAATGTGAGGTTCAATGAATTGAGGGAAAGTTAATCTTTCACACATGAGCAGCTCTTCTCAGCATAAGTAAACAAGAATGCACTTTCTGAGAGGGTTGCATTATACTTTTAATGATGCAACCCTCACTCATGAGAGGTCAGTTGACCACTGAACAGTTTGACTGAGGTTTTCTAAAAGTTCAAAACTAACATTACAAGTTACTGAGCCTTATAAACACAACTTGAAGATATAACTACCACTAGCATGCTAGACCAAGAATTTCTAAATCGAAAACAGGATAAAAGTCACTGGAATATACCGAGCCCATGTCAGGACTTGCCTGTTCTGTAGGAGGTATTGGGCATTCTGGATCTGATCCTGGGTGCCAGAAATGGTAATGATTCGGTCCTCAGAACCTTCCAGAGGTTCATCAATCTTGATGGAGGCCCCAGACTCATGGCGGATCTGTTTGATCCGCTGGCCTCCCTTACCAATGATAGAGCCAGCCAACTGTACCGAGTAAAAAAAGAGGGGTGGTGAACAGGGCGCGGGCAAAATGTTAAATTATTTTAGGTTCTGTGACTAAAGGTGCGTGTAGGTTGACAAATCCAAATTGGAGACACAAAACACAGAAAAGCTTTACTCAGGAAAAAAAAAAAATCAATGAAAATACATCTTGAAATTATTTTAGGTAGTGTTTAGTTCTTTAATAAAACCAATAATTGGACCTTAAATGACTTGTCTACTGTGGATATTCTGTTGGCAAATTTTAGCTGCTGCACACCTAACAGCAACTCTCACACACACAAAAAATTAAATGCCACTTAAATGTCATAATGATAATGACAGAGTGCAGATAACATGCTTGGATTGCTATGTACAGTTCCAATCTTTATAATATGGGGCACAGTAGACAAATAAAACAGATCTTCCTTAGGTGTAAGTTTACAGTTCTATATTGTCATTCACTCACATCTTTAGGGATCGTCACTTGTGTGGTAATGACAGGGCCACCCATGTCGTTATAGGAGCCACGACCACCTGATGGCAAGAAGAAGAGGAAAGGTAAGAAAAGGTGGAAGAAAAAAAGAAAGAAAGAAAAAAGCAATCTTTTCTAATCACGTTGACTGATGAAGTGTAGAGGCTCACCTGACTGGTAGCTATCCCATGAGGAACTGTTATCTGAGCAGAAGAGGAAACAAAAAGAACACTCAGTGATCACCACCAAGACAGGCCAACAGTTGTTCAAATGACCCCCCTTGATACTAAACTTAAACCCATAAGTGGGTACATATGGCAAAGAAATCAAGAAATGTGTTAAATCATATTTAAATCTCTACCTAATCCTTAACATTTGCTGGAAACATGTTTAAAATCAAATGTCATTGCAAACAAATTTCTTTAAAATTCACAATACAGATTTAAATTAATATCCCAAATTCATTAGCTGCAATATCCTTTTAGCCCATTTATATTTGTAACATATGAGAAAATTATTGTCACCACACTAAATTATTAAGAATTCTCCAACCTGTACTGTTGATTAAGACGTTAACAGCATTGTAACCACATCCTTGTCACGCAATACAGGATGTTTAGCACTTACCATATCCTCCGCCACTCTGTAAGAAACACACAGAAACAGACCAGTTACATACAGCACAATGAAGTCCTTTCATCTTTACATCCCACAGATCGTACGCAAAAATGCACGGATGCTGAAGCTGCAGCATCCATGGAGTAGACTAAACTAAAAGCCACCCAGTATTTCATCCATAATACAGACTCCTCCTCCTTCTCTCCCTCCATCCCCCCTCCCCATCTCTCCTTGCATCTCCATCAGCCCCCATTTTCAGCTGCTATTCAGCTGCTGCTGTCACCAGGGCAACAAGCAATTCAAATAGCTGTTGCTGAGCAACGGCAGGCAGTATCCTGCCAGCTCTCAGAGAGGGAGAGGGAGAATGAGGGAGAGAGACCTTCCAGTCTGTCAACAAAGCATTATTAGTGCTTAGCAACCAACCACGGCCACCCCCTACCTCCCTACCCTTCCAACATCCTCCCTCACTTTACAGGAAAAACAGGCTGGCCGTGAAAAGTACACAGTAAGAGGGTAATTATAGCTGATTATTATGGGGTGTCTCCGGCTGTGGTGATTACGGTCATTTGGTGGGATGGTTTACACCATGCAAAAGCTAGCTTGGATCCATGGCTCATTTGAGTGTATGCACATTCATTTGCACGAGTGACGACGTAATGTCAACTAGAATTACCACCTTGTTATTTTATCCTTCCGCCAACCAATCAAATTTCAATTTACATCCTGCCCAGCCCTGCCTTTCTGTATGTAAAGTTATCACTTAACCATTTAATACTCTTTGGCATTTATGATCAGTTCCATGGTTACATAATTACACAATATATAATGAACTGTTTCAAACTATTTTTGATCTTTGGCCGCCAAAATGAAACCAGTTCATACTCTAGTTCAAACAAACTTGTGCCAAATTTTAAGAAATTCGCCTCAATCAGACAGACGTACAGAAAGAAAACCTAGAAACAAATCCCTCTGGTTATGGCAGTTGATCACATGCTGACTTGATAAACCATTATTGTCATGACAGGATAATGGGACAATCACAGCATATTGTGTGGCGACAGGACCAACAAGTATGCTAGGTTGTGGACGCTGGCACCCAATGAGATGCTAGTACCAGAGCCGCATGCATTTAGCAAAGGGTCACTAACCATGCTATCGCTGTAGCGATCCGGTCTGCCTCTTCTGTCACTGGTGATGGAAGGGAGGGGTGGGCAGAAACACAGAGAGAGGGAGATGTGGGTTGGGGTGGAAAGAAATAGAAAAAGCTTAGAAAAATGCTTGACAACATTCCAAAGAAAATTTCTGGTCCAGGTCAAACTGCACACACACGCTGAGCAAGATTACAGTATAAACACATTTCCTCTCAGCCATCTTCCCACACAGTAACAGGAACAGCTCTGACAGTGTTATGGTGAGAGGAGTGACAGGTGGTGGTGATGATGATCAGAGCCAAGGGCTGCTGAATTTCCCCCCCCTACACGACTGAGCTAAAATAAAGAAGACTGAAGAAACACATTTGGATGTACTTTGTACTTTTTCTTTTCTTAAGAACATACATGCACAGATGTTAATGTTGTGATAAAAGTCTCATCATAACTTAATATCATGTAGTGCTTTTGCTACACTCTTTCCCCACGTTTTGTTAATAATAAAAAAGTCTTAGAGATATCATCAACAAGGCTACTGTCAGGGTATCATAATAGCTTTGTTCTTGTTTTGTCATCGCTTAGATTTACTTACATTTTAGAATTTTTAATAGCCCCGCCCATAGTTTGACACCCAACATAATTTGCTTAAATTGGTTTATTTCAGGTTGGATTTAAGAGTCCAAAATGAAGCAAAATTATACATCTCTATATATTAAAAATATTTTTAAATCAAAAGCTGGCATGTGAAAGCATACCTCTTAGCAGGGGCTGTAAGTGACAAGCATCACATCAGCACATGACCCTCACACACCACCACAAAATAACCATCTAATGAGTAGCACAATGAATGTGTTACCATCACAAGAAAGAGCTTGTCATACAGTGTTGCTGTACTGTCCTACAAAGCACTCCAAATAAATGGGCTGAACATGTGAATGAAGGTTAGGGTACTAAAAAACAAACTGTAGTATTTAGTAGTTAGCAATACGAAAGAAGAGTAAATCTTTTAGTTTCTCAAAAATGAGCAGAAAAATGTGTAGAGCAGAGGAAACATGTTGGGATACCTTAACAATTAATTTTCATAAACTCCAGACAAATTGTCCATTTCATTTGTGAATGTAAATTTAGGCTTTCAGCAGCAGCGAATCACTCCAAACACAGACCGATGGGCAAAATCCCACTGGCGTTAACATGAAGTGAATTACAGAACATCTACTTATAATGTGACAAATGCAGATAATACAAACCAACTGAAAATCAGAATGTCAAAGTATCCCTGTTGAGATTAGTTAGGAGGTTTAGTCAAAGGTTTAGGGGCAGAAACTTACTTTGACCTCTCATCTGAGCCGCGGTACGAGTCATAGTAACGATCATCTCTGTGGGCAAGATGGAGATGGGGGTCGGCAAAAACAAATAAACACAAAAAAAAAAAAAAAAAAAAAAAAAAAGAAGATACAAACACACCCAGACAATGATGAGCACATACACTTAATGAAATGATAGCCACTCAATAACATACAGAATACTGGACTTAGTTCGTCTTACACAAGACAACTGAACCAAGTTGACCCTAAACAGAACGCATCTGAATGGAAAGAAGGCACCTGAAGAGATTAAGCTCTGTATATGGACATGTAGGAAAATGAGCAAGTGCTCTTGAATATAGAGTTGCTGTTTTTTTAACCTATCAAACTCAAGAAGCGCTAAACAGGCGTGAAAGGACTCAACTTCGAACTCAAATGTTTATATAGAGATTGAAAATGTGACGTCATTCAGGGGTAAAACCGCAAAGGATTCTGGGAACTCGTGGCAAGAGGTACTAGAGCACGCAGGCTTTCAATTGAAATTACATTACACAGCAATAAAAAGAAACACAAAAATGTCAAGAAGCCGTTGTATTATTAACTGCAATAGCCGGTCGCATGACAGCCACGGGAAGCCGACGGGTAAAGAGATCGGTTGTTATCGGATTACGTCGTTGAAGAGAAATTGTTTGAGCAATGTTTCCGAAGTAACAAAGAGGCGACGGATGGCCTGGATTGCAGCCATTCAAAGACCAAATATAACGTCCCAGAACCCTCCAGCTCACATGTTAGTCTGCCCCAAGAATTTCCACAAAGGTCAGTGTTTTGTAGTAGTTAATACGTCATTTTCATAACATAATTGGTGATATAGGTTACAAGCAAGTCTGGCGCTGAACAGAAACTGTCGCACTATGCTCCTTTGTTTATTGTGCATAAATAGTGAACTGTACTGACATAATATTGCGTTTCGCTTCTGTTATTACCATGGGACATTGACAAAAACATACTTTTATTCACAGGATAAAACAGGTTTTTTTTTGTATCACTAATTGCCCAGTACGATTACAGCATACAATATTATTGTCACTGCTACATTTCTGTAACGCGAATAAGAAATTATTTCCACTACTATTTAATTATTGTTGAGCTTAAAAGTCCTATTAATAAACGGTTAACGAATGTGTATTTATGAAGACGATTTATGAGACTGGTAAACTTATGATACGTACGATGGTCTTTCGTTCTATTTTTTCCTCATATCTTTTCTTTGACTTTTCATCAAGTCTGTCTTTGTACGGACCGGCATTGTTCTCCTTCGTTTTGTACATAACTTTTTTGGGGGACAAAGAAAGAAAGTATCGGAACCGGAGAATGAACGTTTTGGGATTCTGCAAATGCTTGCGTTTGATGCATTGCTTTGCCACGAGTATCCAGCATGCAATGCGCGAAAGTCACGTGGTCTGTCAATCTCTATAGTCATTAAGCTCTATAGTATTCAGCAAATCAGTGAATGCTTACAAGATGGGCAATGTATTCTTATTATAACAAACTCACTTAAGAGGGAATGCCTTGGGACAAGACTGATTTGTGCACAAGAAAAAGCAAAGTAGGGGAGCAAACTGCATGTTATCTGTGCTCATCTCTTACCCTCTGTGTGGGTGTCCCATTGGCATGTTGCGTCCACGGCTACTCCCTCTACCAACCCTACTCGGATGTGGTGGGGGAGGACCTCGGCGGGGGCTCATTTCATCGTAATCTCGACGTGACGGAGGCATGGGTCCCCTTCCCCCTCTACTTGAGGGCATTCGGTCAAAGCTGCGCTCTCCATGGCTGGACCGGCTACCGCGCATTGGGAAACCTCCCATTGGTCTGCGTCCACCCCCTCTCTCCTCAAACATCATGGTAAAACCACCATATTCATACGTTTCGTCGTAGAAGTTGGGGTCATAGGGCTGTGTACGGCCCTTTATGGGAGCCTGAAACAGGGAAACAGAACATTCAGGCCTGCCCAGAGCGTCAATTTAATTTACAAGAAAATAGAAGGATCATGTGCAACAATATTATTATTTATGTATTATTTATTATTATATGGTTTAAGTTCTGTGAAATTATCATGGATTTCATATTGAATTAAAACTCCCCACCAAACCTAAGGCAACTTAAAAAAAAAAAAAAAAAAAAAAAAAATTCCCATAGATCAGCAATTTTCAATATATAAATAGCCGCAAAGATAAATACATAAATAAACTACTCCAGAATAGATAACCTTACTTCAGATATGAGCTCCAGCATAGTCTTGATACACTCCACCACTCTCTCCGTTTTACCACCAACCAGAACTACACGGTCTGTCGACTGGGGACAACACTCCTGAAACAGCTTGATGCTGGTCTTTGTGTTCTGGAGACAAATACAGACAGACACACACACACACACACACACACACGAATGGACAAAGAAAACAGATGCTCATTTAACAAAATCCCAAGGCTGTCCATTTATTAGGGAAAGACAGATGAACAAAAGATGGCATTTAAATCAAGTCTAAGAATAATATAAAATTTACAAACATAACAAAAACAAATCTCCATTTTTTTGAAGATACCTCACGCAGCTCCTTGATCTTGGCTCCCTTCACTCCAATGATAGAACCGGCCAGGCTTTGGTGGATCAGCAGACGGAGCTCACAGTCAAAATCCATCCCATTGTACTGCTGGTACTGCATGGGACATTTAACATATTCAAACCATAATACAAATTTTATACATCGTTACCTCATACACCGGATTGCCAATGGGAACACATGAGCATATTCAACCTGAAATGTAGCTTAGACTCTTAGAGGGAAAATTCTAATATTTATTCTTTAAAAAACAAAACAAAAAAAACCAATTAATGGTAGATAGAGGCACATAGAAACAGTGTTATACATAGTCACATCAGACTGCCGACACATGCAATCAGAAAGCCTTTAAACCAGTGAAGTTTGACCATAAAAACTACATACTGGCAAACACGCTCACACCTACAACAAGCATATGAAATTTTCAAAGCAACTCACATTTGCAACAACTAGTTTTGCAATAACTTAAAATCAGAGGGGGAAAAATAAATAATTAAATAAAACGGGGGTATAAAAGTGCTCACCTCTTCCAATGTTGGAATAATCTTCAGCAGGATTTCTCCAACAGTTTCAATGTCTGCACTGATGCTCAGGATGCTTCAGAATTCATCCATGCGTAACAATTAGAGGGTGGGGTTGGGGTGCCGGCAAGGCATCCCAGGAGGAAGGGAACAACATTTTAGATTATAGAATTCATACCATCCCCCTTTTTGCCATAGAAAAAACTGTCAAACACCAAATAATGATTCAATGAGACTAACACAGCTAAATTAAATATTTGCGTCCAGTTTTTTTTTGGTTTTCTAAACTTTACATGTTAGGTCAAGGTTGTTTTTTTAACCTCTGTAACTGGCAAAAAGCTGGCACCCAAACAATGCAATGAAAAGGAAAGTCTTTGTCCAGAGAAGGAAAGCAAAGAGACAAAATTAAAAGGACCCAAAGAAAAGTGACTGCATTTGGTGACCACTGAAGAGGGGAGACAAGGGAGGTTTGAGGAGGAACTGGCAGGAATGAGCACCAATGGTGCCAAAGAGAACTCTAAAATCTTAAAGCAGAGTTTGGTGGATGCAAACCACAAACATTTTGACCACAAAGACCCCAAAATGCGCAAAACAGTACGTTTAAAATCGCAGAGGAAAATCAAATAAATAACCCCATCGCTTTTTTTAAAAATTACACGCAACTTTTTTTTTCTTTTTTTAATATAAATAAATAGTTTGGACAGTCAATTTGTAGTTAAAATGTTGGTGTCCACACCCACCTAGTGACAGTACAATAAACACTAGTTACTGAGGAGGAAAACTTAAGCACAGTTTTTACATGGGAGCAGAATGTTGGCAGTTGAAGAGTAAAAGAGCAGATTACACCATGGTAAATGAAGTCTGCCACCACTCGAGTTTGCTTTGTTTGCTTTTTAAGGGGATGGAGGAAGCAATAAATATAAAATCAAAGAATGCAAAAATGAGCAGGACAGAGATATCCTGTATTTTCAATGGCTTCAGCAGTCAACCAAGTTCAGATAAAGCAGAAGACAGGAAAGGAAAAAAAAAAAAAAAAAAAAAACCACAACACTTGAATCTCAGCTTGCCTTTTGCATTTCAGAATGGATGGACTACTGTAGTTTATCAATATAAAAGAAGGGCTTCATAAGGAAGGAATGAGATGATGAAGCAAGTGAGCACATGAAACTAACAAAAATTAAAAATAACACCAGTATATCCACTCTGAAAGGGGGAGGGAAGTGAAAACACGAAAGATAAAGAGGATAGATGATCAATTTAAAAACAAACAAACAAACAAACAAAAAAGAAACCACAAAAACACACGGACATATTGCACAGATTATAGCAAAGATTTAAAAAGATAGTGGCAGAAAAACCCTGACAACACCAGCCTAAGTTTAAATGCTGACGTGACTTTAAAAATGGCATATAAAAGGTTGTTCACATGGCTTTTACTGGATCAACAGGCAGATTTGGACATGAAGGTATTTAGGCATTTTGACTCAGGCTAATATATTGTATGAACAGGTAGTTTAAAAATACAGTGACTGGACAGAGGCAGGATGACTATTCATCTCTTCTTGTTTATTTGACCTGTAGTCAGGCAGTGAGAGGGAGGAGCTTAGGGACATACCGCTCAGGCCCACTGCTGTCTGGGACTGACACACTGGCTTTGTACTGGGCGTGGCATGGGCAGGGGCCAGGGCCATTCGAGCACAGATGTCAATCAAGTAAGGCGCCCATTTAAGGACAGGGCACGATTATGGGCAGGGCCAACCAGGGTGTCAGGTGGGCGGGCGCAGGAGGGGCCATCCAGAACATGGGCAACAGAGGAGGAAGTGGGCAAAAAAGTAAACAGTAAAATAATAAACAAGGGGAGAGGGAAGAGGGAAGAGGAATACATTTTTAATATACAGGCTCTACACTGTTCAAATGTTACTTTAATTTGATTCTCTCAGAGATTGGTTTGTCAAAGAGAGAAAAGGAGGAAAAGTGACATTGGAAAATGGGTAATGGCATATCATTATCATGAAGAGTTCAATGTTGGGGAATAAACCAGAGACAGTGAGAAAAGAGGGGGACAACAAATTGCTGAGGGCTAGAGAAAGTCAATGAAACTCAATGAATTAAAAACTGGCCTGTTTGTCTAAACACAAAAAAGAAGGGAAAAAAAAAGTTAGCTTGAGCAGCAGGTGACCTTACAAACTCAGCACTGTGCTCATAAATTTAAATTAACAGGAGCACCAGTGTTTCCACATCAGCAGTGTGACAATAAATTATCATTGTGAAGAAACAAATGGACATGAAATTGGGCCTTTGTGCCTAGGGATAGTTTAGCTTAGATGATTACATAATGTTTATGTGAGAAGAAAAAACAAAACAAAAAACAAAGATAAACACAACCCCAACTGGTTTGTCAGAGGACCTAATGAACAGGAGGCTTAGAAACTTTGCTTCAGCTATGCACTGCCTTGTTTACATGTAAGAAAATACAAAAGCTAAATATTTAAATATATTTGAATAGCTATTACTGTAAAAAAAAAAAAAAATAATATTTAAACAAAAACTGCTGTCCCATAAGAGAGGCTAGTCAGGTTTTAGAGGCCAGTGGAAAGAGAGAAGGAGATAGAGATAGAAAAACTATAGAATAAAAAATTAAAATCCTAAACAAAATTAAAATTCAGGCTGCATAGAATAGATGTACTCACGTCTGTACGCAGGGCTTTGATGTTTTTGCCACCCTTCCCAATTACAGCTCCTGCATTCTAAAAACACAGAGAACAGATAAGAAGAGTAAATATTAATTATGGTGCTGCAATTAAAAGACATTACAATTAAATGTGAGGAGAAGTACTTTATGAATATAATGAAGCCTGGAAATTAATTATTCAAAAGGCATAAATGTAATGAGGAGAACAGAAAGAAAACCATGAAAAATACATTTAAAAAACAAAAAAAACAAAACCAAAATGGTCTGAGTAGGAGACATTGTCAGTCTTACTGAAGGGCTACCCACAAGAATGAGACAAAAATATAAATAATCACATAAGGATTCAACATGAAATGTGAAATGAAAGAGAAGCTGATTTACTTTGCTCTGCAGGAGGATGCGAAGCTCAACCATCTCATCCGAGTTCCTGGAGCGCTTGAATGATTTCTGCTCATCTGCATCCTCAGCGGGGCGCTTACCTGGCAAAAGGAGATAAAAACACAGCATGACAACACTGCGCCAGCGTGCACATGCACACACACGCTTCAACAAGATAAATTAACTATTCAGTCGAAAGAGAAAAGTGATTTCAAACTGTTCTCCCATTATAAGCTAAACATATACAAATCTCCCTCTGCACATCTAAGAAAGAAAAGACTTCTTTTAATACACAAACACAATTTTAAACATAGACCAGTGAATATTTAGATCCCTTACTGTAACATAAAAAAGCAATTACTTTAATCTCCAAATACACAGATTTGCCAACCGTGTCCAAAATCTGATGTATTTAAACAACATGCAAAACTTTAAAATAAGGTTTTTACCGTTAGTCTCTGTGTTGCTGAATGAAGCCTCTTCTTGCTGATCAATATCTGTCTCCATGGTCTTCTAACAGAAGAATAGAAGAGCCAAACACCTCGATCAGGGATAGAGATGGTAGCAATTGGGAGGGAGAAGCAGAAAACTGGCCCCTGTGAGCTGAGGTTTTTTGTTACCATTGTAAGAGCAAGAAAAAAATGAAGAAATTAGACAAATCATCTGAGTAAAGTAGATCGCAGGACTGACATGGAAGAAACTGGCCGATCCCAGAGACTCACCGATATTTATTAGGAGAACAAGGGCGTGTTGAGAGGCGGAACTACCGGAGCAAGAACCAAACAACTCCTGCGACCTGAAAGAGAGGGAGAGGCTAATTTAAAATACTGAAATGATGGCATATAAATAGAGAGCGCGAGAAGACAGTTCGGTAAACACCAATGATGGGTTTAAATTCTTATATTTTATCTGAAGTGACCGATAATCAACTAAGACCACTGTTATCAGAATGAACACCGTTGCTAAATGTTATCAGCTGTAATGTGATCACGCACGGGGTTTGTCTGGCTGAAGAGAGGAGAAACCGCGACAGCTTTATAATCAGGAGTTAAATAGTTAACACTAACATATAATGGCAGACCAAAAAATAACTTATTGCTAAAAACAACAAGGCGAGGGTTGTTTTTTAAATATAAGTAATATATACTATATTAACCAATAGCAGCCAAAAGATAGTGAACTGGTGACCAAATCGAAAGTAAGCTGGTCCGGTTAAAGCTAACATAGGGACCATTGCCTAAGGTGCGGTTAGCCGTCGGCGGAGCTAGCCAGCCCGCAGTGAAACGCTTCGAGTTCTTGCGCTCACATTGGAATTTAAAACTTCCCTACTACTCTGCACCACTTAGCTCTTCAAATGCGAACAGTAACGCGACACGGCTCTAACGTGAACGAGTTGCTAAAATATAACCAATCGATCAATACAAAGAGTACACTAAGTCGCGCACGCTAGCAGCTAGCTACTTTCGCCATGTTGCCTTAATTTCGGTTCAGCACATACGCAGCCACGCAGAGCGGGTTGCACCAAACAAGCAACACAGTGAGCAAACAAACATTAAAGGCGTAGTTCTCATTATAGTAGCCGTGCAGTTCAACAACAAAAAGCACAAATATATATCTTCAAAACACAAACCTGCAGCAAACACCTCGCTAGTTGCCTCTTCCTTCTCCACCGAACCTGGAAATAAAACGATAAGACGACTCACCGTGTGCTGATTGGCTGAACGGAGAGCGACTCAAGCAGGCGATAAATCCGATTGGCTACAACGAACGGCAATCACGAGAACCGAGGCGGTACATACCAGTCTGTTTCCGGACACGGATCGACTGTTAACTGTGGCCCTTCTAGTTATTCCAGTTTAGAAAGATGCAATTTGCAAGGCTAATGGTCACGTTTTTCCGACACGAGTGTTTGGTTTAAGGCCTTCTGTTGTGAGTAGGGACCTCTGCTGCTGGATGCTTGTGTTCAGGTTTGTTATATAAGTAGGCTGGGTTAATCAACTTTGGCGCCTTTCTACCTACTTGTGCAATACTTGATGGACGAGTCTGCCCCCGTGCTTCTCAGGTAACATATACATACCAGCTAAATGGTTATAAACACTTTTATTTGGTAAAGTTTTTCTTACCCGATATCCCTTTCATGCTCTCCAACAGCAGGGCTGGACAATGTTGGGAAAAATATATAATTTTTCTGATATTTTCGCAGTCCCGATTTGATTTGAAATGCATATTCTCAAAGCTGAATTTCATTTGTTTTTCATACTTTACGTTTAAAAGCACAACTGCATGAAATACCTGCAAGACATAAACATAATTTTTGTAAGGTAATGATAATGATAAAGACATCCGAAATATTTGTCGTAATTGAACTGTTTTCATTGGCGATTTCAATTTAAAATTAATAAACCGTTCAGTCCTGCAACATCTGTTTACGTCTGCTTAAGATCATGTACAGGGACAGTGTGGTTACCTTGTTCAAATAACCCAAGAAAACAATCAGATACAATAATATTATGTTCTTGTTATAAAACAGTCTTTTCTAAATGGTCCCAGTGGTTTGAGGGCTTTACAAAGAGACTAGTGTACAAAAAAGCTCATCCTGCAATCTAGTGAGGGTTAACATTCAACACTTTACCTTGAATTATTATTAATTTTTTGCCCATTTGGAGTACTCACTTAGAAAACAAAATAAGATAAACTGCAAGGCTAAATTTATTCTAAGAGGCTTCATTTAAAAACGAACATGTTAAAACACAGCTTAACTATTAATCCGTCATGGGTCACTGGGGACTCAGCTCAGGGATCATTGTAAATTAAATGTAGAATTTTATCTCTTCTCATATTTTGCACTTACAATACAGTCAAGTTAAAACTACATTAAGTAAAACAAACAAACAAACAAACAAACAAACAAACAAACAAACAAACGGTGCACTACAGATAACTACTGTGTTGCATTTTTTTTACCTGACCACCACCAGACACCTCAGCTATACACTTACATATTTTTGTAAATACATTTTTTATTTTTTTATTCTTCACTACCATCTTAATTAATTTGTTTAGTGTTTACTGTGTAATAGACAGTTACACTACAGTCTTTTTAACCTTTTGTTGTGATTTTGTGTGTGTGTGTGTGTGTTTTTTTCTGCACACATAATTTTGTTCAGTCAATGCATCAGTGACTCATTGAGTGAATGATTAAAACTCTAAATGTGTTATTGAGTAATTAATGAGAAGTGCGACTATGATATGAATACCTGAATTGAAATAATGTGGCTAAAGCAGCTTCAGAATAAGAATGTGGCTAAAGCAGTCTGTATATTCTGACAGAAAGCAGCTGGAAAAGCAGAAGAGAGCCAAATACACTTAGAGGAAGAGATGACTCCTGGGATTCAGGCAGTGGTCCGTGCTACCCAAGCATGGCTGCAGTCCTCCTGGCATGTCCAGGTGCCCTTTGCCTGGCTAGAAGCCTGTGTGGAGTGGCTACAAGGAGAGGCAGGAGGAGAAGCTCATCTGTCACAGCAGCAAACCAACCAGCAGGTAGGCAGGATGTGCGACTGTCTCAGTGTACAACTCGATAGACAGAAATCAAATGCTTTGTTTTTGTCAACAAAAGTCTCAGGATTCCTTTCCTACCTGTTTCTGGATAATTCTCCACAGCTCCAGAAACTCCAGTATAGATTAAGAGGTCTTGTTCCCACTTATTGTCTTATAAGATGTTCGCTCACTTATTATGACATGGGTTAAGTATGGGTCACATGATAGAAGGTGGTCAGGGGGTGGATGGTTACCCCACTTTTTCCTCAAAGATGGTTACTGGCTTCGATGTGTACATGTGGATTTGATGTGGTTCATGCACATTTTATCACTCTTGGTAGAATAACCCAGTCTGAGCTGAATAACATCTGTGACACAGCAGTTAGTTCGGTGTCTCTTCCTTTTTTGCATTCATGTGATCTTCATACTGCAAATATGCAGCTAGCAGAAGGCAAAACTCAAACAACCCTGGGGCTGATAACCAAGAAACAGAAGCTCAAGACCATACACATTTCTATCACTGTTAGCTGAGAACAAGGAGCTCATGCTAGAGTAGGTAATAATGAGCAAATGTGGGTGACTGAAGAGTGAAAGGACACATTCTGGTCTGACAAATCCTGGTTTCTGTTACAACAAGCTGATGGCAGCATGATTCCATCCTACTCGGCGTCAGCTGTCGCAGCTTGCGGTGGCGTCATGTGGGGAATATTTCCCTGTATTGACGCATCATTTGTATGACACAGTGTACCAAAATATTGTTGTCGAACAGCTGTGCTCCTTTTTGGCCAAAGTTGTCTTTTTTTGTTGTTTTTTTTTCCACTACATGCTTGGAAGAGGACAAAGTTTCTTGTTTTTTGTTTTGTTTTGTTTTTTTCAAGGCACAAATCATCACCTCATGGTTTCAGCAGCATGCCGGTTCATTCAAGTGGTCCTGAGATCTCAACTCTGTAGAGCGCGTTCATATTATAAACAAGAAATAAAATATCTGCAGGCATTGCTAACACTACCGACGCACTGAATTCATCCAAATCCCTGTGACATTTCTTTCTTACTCTGTTAAATCATTTTTCTGTAGAGTTTCTACTTTTTCTTCCTGGATCTGAGTCACCGGTATCTGCAGGTAGCTTTGCACTAAAGCTTCCTTTAAAATAAAGGGTTGTTTTAACTGTGTGTCATTTAAAATACATATACATATAACAAAAGAATAAATTATGGGACTGGAAGTGAACATAATAGGTCCACTCTATGTGTAACTGCTGCTGAATGACAGTAAGTGAACCAAAAATGAATCTCACTGCTTGATGTGGTTTTTCAGGCGCTGGACCAATGGCTGTTAACAGACCTCAGAGACCTGGACTTTCCTGTCCTGCCTGAAGGGCTCGCTGAAGCCCAGAAGACTGAGCTCAGTGGCAACTTCTGCGTCCAGGTACAAACTTTCATGTTACATAGTTCATCCAGTTTCTTTATTTATTCTCGTTGTTGTTGGGGACAGTTCTGATCATATTTTCAACAAAAAAAAAACCAAATTTAAAAAAAAGCATGTAAAATCAGCAAACAATAGGCTGAGAACAATATGTGTACCAACAGCATAAAACCTGAGCTAAATCACATAAAGGCAAGTCACTCAGCTTTTCACATTGGGAGGGGGGTATTTAGGCGTTCCTGCTGCATTTATTTAACTGACCCGTGATTTTTGAAAGTAGTCTAAAATTGGAGTTTTTGTGTGTATTGTGTGTACATTTGTTATTGTTGTTACTTTTGCTTTTGTGGCTTTTTTGCCTGCATCGGAGAGGGAAAAAAATTGCAAAGCAAGCTCTTGAGGAAATATAGCGCTTGAGTTAATGGTGATGATTAATTTGGGCTGTGCATACAGATAACTCACCTTGCTGGTGACACCAACGCTCGGTTGATCATCGTGCACGCAAATGGAAACATGACAAGAGGTCCAACTCTGTTTTAGGTCGACTCATTATTGGACATCAGTCAGCCGGCGTATGGTCAGCTGCAGAAGTGGAGGGGCACAGATTGTGTCAATGACGAGGTGTCTGCAGTCACACAGACCACCCAGAGGCCCTGGGAAGCCAAACCCACCCGTATGCTTCTACTGCAGGTCAGAGTCTTATGTGAATCATAGTTGCCATTAAAAAAAATCTCAATTGAGTTTCAGTAAAAGCCTTTTGAATGAATGCCTTTATGTAAATAACAGCGTTAACCTTAAAAAGCAGATGTTGAATATGTGATGATGCTAGTTGTCTTCTTGGGTCACAAAAGGGAGATCAAAAATTGCAGATTTAAAACATAAAATTTCATTTTAAAGCTTTGGCTTTTGCATCATCCAGCATCCTGCGTTTGTCTGTGTCTTAGTAGCTTTTCAGCATCTCACAGACAAACAGAAAAACATTCAGGCACTTCCCGTAGAGACAGAGCTTTAAACTGTGTTGTTAATAGAAAATATTGTCTGGACTCGTCTTGACTGCAGTGGCACGCAGTGTGTCCAGCACTTATCTGTGACCAGACTTTATCTTTGTATGTTTGGTTGAGTGGAACAATTCTGCTTCTCTTCCTGACTGAATCAGAGCGGACGGTACCATCAGTGAGAGCATATGAAAGAGTAAATTGCAGGAATATATGAGGCAGACTCTAATTTCCACCATAAGTAATATACTTTTCAGTGTATGTTTTTTTTTTTTTTTCTTTTCTTTTCTTCAAGAACAGTGCAGGTGTTGCTTAGAAACGTTGCTGTGACTTTTAATATTATTTTTAACTGTTTCTCAGACCATTTTTGATCAAAGAGTCGTAGATTAGCTTTGACTAGGACAGGGCAGCCAGCGTGTATAATCATATTAAAAGAAATCGAAATAACAGTTATTTCCATACTGAATCAGTCTACATGGGTTTTAGAGTCTAAACAACCTACAGTGCTGTGGAAAATTATTTATTATTCACAATTTCCTTTTCTTTTCCTTTCTTGCATATTTGTCACGCTGGCATGTTTCAGATCATCAAACAATTTTGCATTTTTAGATAAACATAAACTTAGTAAATATAAATTACTGTTTTAGAACTGTGTGTGAAAAAATAATTGCCCCTAAATGTCATAGCTGGCTGTGACACCTTTGTCACCAAGAACTGCAATCAAATGTTTGTGATAACTGAGTGAGTTGTTCACA